GTGTGTGTGTGTGTGTGTGTGTGTGTGTGTGTGTGTGTGTGTGTGTGTGTGTGTGTGTGTGTGTGTGTGTGTGTGTGTGTGTGTGTGTGTGTGTGTGTGTGTGTGTGTGTGTGTGTGTGTGTGTGTGTGCGTGTTATAGGGGATGATTATCAGTTTAGTTGAGCCTCGTTTCTACTTGCGCTGAAGCATAATTCAGGTTTAATTTTCTCGCACAGATGTAGCAAATCATCGCGTAACATTTCTGTAAGATAGGCAGCACAATCCCATCTCCATTGCTTACGTATTGCCCGATTAAATTCCATTCTCCCAATTATATTTGACTTAAACCATTAGTGTTCAAACGTCTTCTCGGCTATTCCCCTATCAAATTCCACGCGAATACCTCCGAATAAAACATAACTCTACGGAAAACTCTCCAGTATTTTGCCGTATAGACATCGCAAAACGAACAACGCTGTAACATACAGCTGTGGGTGTTTGACAGAAGCCTACTCACTCCCGAGATTGAATTTTTGTGCGGCTATATTACGCAGGAAGTACGACAATCCCGAAGCGGATGTGACGTTTGCGTCGTGGTTTATGTTTGGCGCCCCCGTGGCGCTGATCATGCTACTGCTGGCCTGGCTCTGTATGCAGCTGCTCTTCCTTGGGTGGAGGTGAGCAATAAAGAAGAAGGGAAATGGTTTGGGACGCGGGCTTGGACCATTTTAATTATCCGGAAACCGCGAAATATCGGATAATTTTCTTGCATGATTGCGGAACCTTTAATAACGGGTTTAATTAAGCAAGAACTGAGTAATTAAATTTGCTTTTTTATCCTGGGACGCTAATCGTGACCCCAGACCTTATCCCCCTTTATATTAATTATGAAATTTTATATAGATGGTAATGGCTTATATATGCTCTGGTTTATTTAATAACTCGGTGTTTAATTAATGAGTTGGTCGATGCTTCATGCAGGACGTTCCTTTGCTGCTCTCGCCGGAAGGACGATGACGGTTACGTTGACACTGAATCGGCGACGGACATCATACGTCAAGCCTACAACAAGCTCGGTCCGCTGAGGTGGGGCCGTCACGTGATCACGTCGTTTCCTGCCATGCGCATGCGCGTAACTATAGTGAAGGAGGACCTCTCGTGTTAAAGCTGTCCTTTACAAATGTTGTCTTGGCACATCACTGCTAACAATGTACACAAAATCACCTAACCGTGTTTGAGGCAGGTGTGCATGTGAGCAGGATAATACTAAGAAGATAACTGATTAGTTATATTATTATAATTACGTTGATATGATTACTATAATTAGTTTTTGAACCTGTATCGGGTATACAGACATACAGACATACAGACAGACGGACGGACGGACGGATTTACCGTCAGACGGATGGACAGACAGACAGACAGAGCACACATTTACGTTACATCACGTCTTACGTCAGCTTCGCCGAGATCGAGGTTCTCGTCTGCTTCGTTCTGCTCGTCATTCTCTGGTTCAGCAGGAGTCCTAAGTTCGTCGACGGATGGGGATCGCTGTTCAAATACAACGGCAAAGAGTGAGTAACACAGCTTACTCCACGCACACACGCACACACGCACACACGCACGCACACACACACACACACGCACGCGCACATGCGCTATATATATAGCGCACATTGTCTATGCCCCGTCAGCGATTATTTTTTCCGTACGCGTTTGATGCCGACGTCAGTCCTCGGGAGCGCTATTCGGGGAAGTGCTTCTGCGTCACAGCGTCAACAGTCCCTCAGAAGCAACTATGTACTCGACCTACTCAACAACATAAATTGAATATGTGTGTTTACACAGCGGCCTTCTATCCGCTAGCAAAGACCGTTCCTCTTGGAGCTAGTAGTGCATACGTTTCATACATTAATCGAGACAAACGATGGCGGCGGTGGCCGGCGATTTCGAAATAAACCGCTTGGCGAAATAAGGATTCACGATTGGCAGAGTCATTAGATGCCAGCTTTAGAACCTAACACCTCAAACGCCTACCCATAAGCCTCTGGCTGTAACCCTAACCCTAAACGCCTCAACCCAACCATGGCTTTAAGCCCTAACCCTAAGCCCTAACCCTACCCAATATGCATTGCGCAATACGCCCATACTGTGGTGACGCCGTTAACGTGTACCGGAAAAAATGAATCGCGCCCCGTGCAGCGTCACTGGGACAGGCAGGCCAGGTGCGACGGGCATTTTCTCGCTACGTACAGCGGGACTGGCTTGTGACCTTTGTAAGAATATTTAAAAACGGCCTCTATAAGCGCTGGAACCATTGCCTTAAAGTGTAATAGTAATTGAGTACAGCTTCACTGTTCGCTTATAGGTTTATGGCGTCCTTGATAAAGCAAACAAAACTGGCCGAACAAAATGATTGTAAGCCGAAGACGCTCTATAAAGATTTTAAACAGGATTTAAGGCCGAGCTCGGCGCGTCTTACATACTTCACCATCAGCGCATTCGCTCTGCCCCTGATCGCCCCAGGCTTCCCGAGCTGACGCTACTTGCCGCGGATATCCTATCGGCGTCATCTTATTCGATGCTGTTCCGTCGGACGAAGCCAAACTTTCTCCTGTTGCAGAGGAGAAAGGCGCGGTAAGCTCCATAGACACGAGAGACATTCTCCTAAGAGGTATAAAACCTCTTAGAGAGTCTTCTTCAGCTCCTTCGCCGACGGTATATATATATATATGGGCCATATTATATATATAATATATATATAATATTCGTCTCGTTTCGAGGGTGGTGGTCTGATTTGTATCTGGTTTAGGGGGCTTTGGTTACCATACTGCTTGTGGAATTGGTATGTAAGCGATTCATGCCCAAATAAATAACTGAATTGTAGCAGAAGTTATGGTAATAGTTGTGAGCTGTCGTCATATTTGGTATAAACAACGATGCGTACACGTTAACAGCACACACAGCACGCACGCACGCACGGCACAGCCACACACACACACGACACACACAACACCACACACACACACACACACACACACACACACAAACACACACACACACACACACACACACACACACACCACACACGACACACACACACATACCACAACACGACACCACGCTCAGTCGCTTACGAGTACTGCTTACAGACACGGTCATTCGGCTGGTAGGGGTCCAAATGCCGCCATCTTGGAATTGGAAAGGCCCTGTCAGCGGTTAAATCTGCCGCTGGACGTCGTTTTCCTCCATGGGCGGAGGCTTCGCGTCGTGGCGAAGGGCGTAACAGCGTTAGCATGCTAAAACGCGTGTCAATGACGAGTCTAGTCTTACTTGTTTGCACAGAAACTTATCACACTATGCAAGCGCTCGTTTAAAAATTAATAACAGTTATACATAATAATAATTATGTGATTGGATGGATAATAACAATAGAGTTACAATATTTTATTATTATTATTAATAATAATTTATTATCATACTAATCTGCAATATCTAATGTTATAATCCGTATTTCTGTCGTTGGCGTCGTGCCGCCTTCTGTCATCATCCGGCCACGCACTTCGTCGTCGTGCGTCGTGCCGGTGGGTGTGTCCGATCGAACAGCAAGTCGGGGACTGAGCGCTGTGGGTCGCGGCCCAAGGGTCATAGATCAGCTGAGCGGGCCGTGGCCGAACTGGGTTGTCGTTCTTGTCGTCTGCATTCATCATCGTTCCTATCACAGAGGCTCGCCAGTACACAGCCACCGCCAACATTCATGCTTGCGGCGCTCATGCCCAGATCTTGCGTGAGGACGCGGGGAGCGGTCGAGAGGGGAGAAGGGGAGAGGTGGTGGGAGAGACGGGAAGGCGCAAAGGGAGGGGGCATGGGACAATGGCGGAGGAGGAGCGGTGAGAAGGGAGTGGGAGAGGAGGCGTCGCCAGCAACCAGACCACCGCTAACATCATGCTGCGCTCATGCCAGCCTGCCGTGAGGAGACGGGGGAGGGGGAGAGGGGGAGAAGGGGAGAGGGGAGAGAGGGGGGCAAAGGGTGAGGGGAAGGGGACATGAGGGGAGGAGGAGCGGGGAGCAAGTGAGTGGCCGGAGAGGTAGGGTCGGCCAGCAGAACACAGCCACCGCGTAAATCATACATGCTGCGGCTCATTGCGCCAGCCTGTTCGCGAGAGACGGGGAGGGGAGAGAGGGGCGACGCAGGGGGGAGAGGCGGAGAGAGGGATGAGCGCGAGGAATAGCGCGGGAAGGGAGGGAGCGAGAGAGGAAAGAAGGGGAAAACACCTGCTCCTGTAGGAGTTCTACGTTGGTCTGTTGTGGCGAACGGTGAAGAAAGTGACACTACAGCCTGGGAAATAGTCATCAGGGAACACGAAAGTAGTCAGCATTTATGTACGGATCCTTAACAGCGGTTATTGCTGCGTATGAACTAGTATAGTAAGGCAGCAACCTAGGCAACCTAGCCTGTCTTCCTTCTGAGTTA